CAGGACCAGGGCAGTGATTGTCCCTCTGTGCTTCGCACTGGTGAGGCCAAACCTTGAGTCCTGTGTTCAGTTTTGGGCCTCTCACTACAGCAAAGACATTGAGGTGCTGGAGCGTGTCCAGAGAAGGGCAACGAAGGTGGTGAAGGGTCTGGAGTGCAAGTCTGATGGGGAGTAGCTAAGGGAACTGGGGTTTTTTAGCCTGGAGAAAAGGAGTCTGAGGTGAGCCTTATTGCCCTCTACAACGACCTGAAAGGAGGTTGTAATGAGGTGGGGATGGGCCTCTTCTCCCAAGTAACAAGCGATGGGATGAGAGGAAATGGCTTCAAGTTGTGCCGGGGAGGTTTAGATCGGACATTATGAAGAATTTCTTCACTGAAAGAGTTGTCAGGCACTGGAACAGGCTCCCCAGGGAAATGGTGAAGTCATCATCCCTGGAGGTATTTAAAAGGCATGTAGATGTGGTGCTTGGGGACATGGTTTAGTGGTGGGCTTGGCCATGCTAGGTTAATGGTTGGACTCGATGATCTTAAAGGTCTTTTCTAACCAAAATGATTCTATGATTATGTGTGCCTCCGTTTCTTCCTCATAAAAAAAAAAAAAAAACACACCAAAACTTGAATGAGATATCTTTACAGTAAGCCCAGCAAAATATGTTCCATTTTTGCACATTGGAATTTCAGTTTATATAAAAATCTCTGTGTTCGCTATAACCACTTGCGCTGTGAACTTTGTCCGTGTACTTCAGGAACTTGACCTTGTCTCTAGTTAATGTACCATGTGCGTTGGCAAATTTAAATGAGGGAGAAATTAGGTGGCTCCTCTGCCATGGCTGTGTGATGTGAGATTATGGTCACACCTAATATACTTACGATATAGACTTTTTAAGTGTAGATAACTTGTGTATTTGGTATTGATAAGATAAATTATCTAAAAGTTTCAACATTTAAAAAAGTGTTTTAAGACAGTTGGACTATTCAATTTCTTGTTTAAAAAACCAGATCTTTGGAAAATGCATTATCTTCAGAATTACTCAATAATATTTATATGTTTAGTGTTTTGATTCACGTGCTAAAAATTAAATGAATAAGAGCGCACAAATGTATTTGATTATGATTTTTATTGACCTCCTCAAAAAGACAAATTTAGACAAGTTCGTAAGTAGTGGAGTAAGGGATATAATCACAGGATGATACAGGTTTATGTCTTCGAAGCATCAGTGTTGGTGTTAGGTGTCAATATCTGAAGTGGGTATAAGAGAACAGTGACGGAAGTTATAAACTGCTGTACTTCGGACTCATGATATGTGCTAAGTTGATCCGTTGAGCATCTTGTACGTGTTAACAGTGGAGCATCAGGAATGTTACCAACGTATGACAATACATTCATACAGTAGAAGGATATTTTTTATGAACAGTGATACTGATTTCCAATTAATAAGTGGCAAATCAAAGTACAGACTAGTTAAATAACTTGCCCGAGGTCACTTAAGCAGTCTGTGGCAGAGATGGAAATAAATTGTATTATCTATGTGAATCCTAATGTGTATGACCATCTTTCCTCTTGCTTTCTATTCACAGCATTTTTATGAACATATTTTATTTACAGACTCAGTAGTTTCCTGAATAAGCCAGAGAGTCACCTGAGACGCAAAGATGTTGGAAGAAGATATGGAGGTGGCCATCAAGGTGGTAGTAGTAGGAAATGGAGCTGTTGGGAAGTCCAGTATGATTCAGCGGTATTGCAAGGGGATTTTTACAAAAGACTACAAGAAAACTATTGGTGTAGATTTCCTGGAAAGACAAATCCAGTATGTATTAAACAGATGCCAGACTGTTGATTTTTACCTTTCCCTCTATTTCTTTGTTCTTTTGTAATCCTAAGATTTACAAAGGCTTGGAAGACAAGGCCTGCTGCTTCTGAAGCACCGTAAAGGGAGTTGTTTTATCTCTTGCACTGTGGGCTAAAATTATATCACTCCATTTTCTATCGAAGATTTAGAATTATAAATAAAATCTGGAACTTCTGTTGTACTAAGCTTTTTGACAAGTTTCCTTTGGATTCTACCACCTGATGATTTTTTTAAAATTTGTTTTTGTAATTTCTTGTTGAAGAAGTGCAAGTGCTTATGATAAAATGATAATACAAATTTTTTAGCCAATATAGATACTAATGGCTGTGGAAAAAAAATTAAATATGCTATAGATTTATGCAATATAAGCAGATAATACTCAATTATGTTTGATAAAATGGAAAATACTATGGTAATGAGAATAAGAAAATTCTATAAATTCTGTAAGCTGATTTAAAAAGACAAAAGGACCATTATTCGAGTACCTAAGTTTTGTTTTGATGTCTGCATTACTTTTCCTTATAGAAAGAAATGTAGAGGAAGAGGCGGAAAGGAAGAGGAAAATAATACAGATTGTCAGTAAAGAGCATGTAATGTAATTGAGGGACTATTGCCATAGTATGTTATGGAGGTGAACCGTTATTAATATTAAGTTACATTATATTTAAATCAAGTTAAATTTGACTTGGATTACTCTTATATTATAGACATGTGGAAGTATTTCCATGTCAGTTGTTTTGAATTGCTCTTGTTCATTGTGTTGATTACAGAACCATGTCGTTTATTTCAGAGTTAACGATGAAGATGTCAGGCTAATGTTATGGGACACTGCGGGTCAAGAAGAATTTGATGCAATAACTAAGGCCTACTATAGAGGTGAAAATACCATGTTTGTTATTTGGTAGTTGTTGGTGGGCTTTTTTTGGTCTGCACCTCTCTAAAATATTTTCCTATCTTTGTATTAAGAATTTTAGTTATTTCATGTGTGTGCAAAGCGTGTTAGTTCACCTTTTTCAGTTCTTAAATATTTTTCCCCTTCATGCAAGATCCTTGCCTTAATTAAGTGCCACTTTATGCAGGATGCTGAGTAGTGCCCTTTAAAAAACATAGAACAAAGTGAGACAAATATCTGCACAGAAGTTGGACAGAATATAGCCATTCAAACAATCAAATGCAAATTTGTATTTTCCCTTTAAAAGTGTTTTATTACTTCTATAAGACATGTATTTGTACATGTTCGAAAAACTATGACTGAGACACTTAGAAATTAATCCAAGGGAAAAAAAAATCCACCAGTCATCCTAGAAGGACAGTTTACTAGGCACGATAGTTCTCTTGCTAGTACAGGCTGCCTTGAATACGTTAATGCAACAGAGTAATAAGGAAAGTGTATTTACTTCATAGAATAGAAACTGTATTATTCAGTCATGTAAAGGCAGTTTATCTATTTAGCCAGTTACAAATTGTATACTTAGTCTTTCTTTACATATAATTTAACAATGGTTATGAAAATCTTTCCTTTTTGTTTTTTAATGTGAGAGGTATCAATGACTTGGCAAAGATTCCATGATTCAGTATTTGTCAAACTGGGAAAATTGTATTTCTATGGTATAAAATGACCTCATTTAGAGATAAAATAATAGTTGTGCCGTGCTGTTTCAGGGTGGTATAGTGCTCTGACCTCTTTATATTTCACGATTGTTTTGTCAACTAATAGGGTTTTTTTTGGTAATATTTCTAGTTGTTGCTCATAATTGATGATTACCATTTCTTCAGAGAAAGATCTTTCTTTTCTTATTTCTTTTTATCTTCATATGGAAATAGATCATTTTGTCATTTTACAGCTGACAAGTTGAGCATATAAATTTTAGAAGGTAGTACTTGATTCTCTTGGAGCTTCCTTTTTGCTCTCCTGGCCTTCAGTTCTCTTGTGTGCTTTGCTCTCCCTAGTTGTTTAAAGCCAAAGAGTTTTTTCTCCTAATTACTGGGACTGATGTGATAAAATATGGAGTGTTCAGAAGAACTTAGAAGTACACTTACTGGCCTCACTTACCACAAGCAACCTGATGGTTTAAAAAAAAAAATATCTGCATGAGTATCTTGAAATCTTGCTCATGACTTGTGCCCAGCATAGTGCAGTTAAATCTCTGCCTCCAAGATCTTTATATTGAAGAGGGTGCTGTGAAGTAGAACATGGTCATCCTGTGGATACACATTGTACGCAGCATGGTGGATATATTAACGGTTCAAGCTGTTAGATACGGTGAGGGTTCTGCACTAGACTTTGACTCATGAAGGACAAGGGAAATATAAGAGCCTGGAATGCAATTTTGGTTTAGCGTCAGGTCTGCAAGCACGATATTATAGAAGCAAGAAGTCAAGCTTACTTTGGAGATGCAAGGATTTCATTGCCTATTATTGGTGATAAGGGGAGGTGCCTCTAAGGTAGGTAAGATAGATGCTGGCTGTTACTTTAAGGTCTGCCTCTCCCATAGGTTGCTGTCCCCCTGTCATTACAGTAGGGCTTATCTACTCTCCTGGAACAACGTGTATTGTCAGTTCTTCAGGAATCGGCTGCTCATCTGTGGTCGCACAATGAATGTGTTGGAGCCTGTTTCTGAGCCCTTCTTGTCCAGGGACCAAATTCATTCAGCCTTGCAGAGAAACAAAATTGGACCAGACGGTGGGTTTGTCATGTGGTTTTCTGTGTACAGGCGAATACATGCTGCTGGTGTAGCTGCATGCCTGTGATCACACAGCACAAGGAGTCCAGCAGCCTAAATTGAGTTGAAGGAAGTTCTGTATGTATTTAATAATTTCTTTTTTATATTGTACCATGCATCTTCTTACCAGTTTCTGTCCGATGGAAGTCACACATTTTCTAATTCACAAAGTACCTCATTCGTATGCTAAGCATACACAAGTGGCTGTTGTTAGCAGCACCGTGTTCTGTCCATGTTACAGATGCTTCTCAAGGCAGTATTTGATCACTTCTTCATGTGTGCGTCCTCTTCCATCCGCTACCACTGGTATCTTGAGTAGACCCTTGTTAGGTTTTTGATGGAAAACAGACATCTTGCTCATTGGTCTGTTATTCAGTCACTGAGCAGTCAAATTCTCAGGATCCTCATTTTGTTGCACTATAGTTAGATTTCATATTTCTCAAGCTTCCATAGCATTGCTCTGGCTTGCACTTGCCAATCACTTTTGGCTGTAGTAACTGTGATAACAGGAGGGCTGCAAGACTATCCTGGTCCCATTTGGAACAGGCAGCCCTCTTTTGGATACTGTTGGTGAGACCTTAAACCTTGCTAAGCCTGTTAAAGACAGCCAGGATCTGCAAAAGTTAGAACATCAACAGTAAACAAGAACTTCTGGATGATGAGATCATTGACCTTGGATTTTTATCTCAGTGTAAGGCTGAACAAGCCACCATTTCTTTTATAGTGAATGTGTGTTTTCTGTCATAGCCTGAAAAAGCTGAGGCAAAGAACAGAGGAATGAAACTAATAGATGCCAGGTATAAAACCCTGTGTGAGGCCACTCATGGCAAGGGATTTCTTTACCCGTTTTCTGTTACACAGGCTTTGTACCGTTATGAAAGGAGAAAATACAGTTACGGAGTCCATGAGGATGGGGTAGTCTGCTGAGGATCTTTAAGACCGACTCAGCTGACAAGCTCATGCTCTACTTGAATCCAGCAGAGATGCTAGCACTACTCTCTTAATTTTGTTCTGAATTAGTCTAAATATGAATATCATATTGGTGATTCTGCAGCCAGTTGGAACCTTTTTGAAATAAAGATACAGGGGTTGTCAAAGCAGTAATTGCACACAAAAAACTCCATCATCCTTTCCTTCTGTGCTTTAAAGTGGCTTTACAAAACAGCTTCTTACGAAAGAACTTTGATTTAAAATACTCATCAAGAACATCCTGGTTTTAGCTGTTACGCTCCTGTCTGACACTGTCCTGTGCCTTTGCTGCTGGTGTCTGTTGCTGTACACAATCTGTTGTATGACACAGGTGATGTATGACTCCATTTGCAGTGAATAAGTGAGATCATAGTGTTATTGACTCTCTTGAATACTGTCAGTCACTACATACAGAAGGGTGTTTACATGCCTAAATCCTGGGGTTTATCTTTTTTTTTTTTTTTCACTCCTTAGAGTTTCTACATGGACATTGTAAGTTCTTAAACTTGTTTATGTTCTCAATAAAAATACTGAGGATTTAGCAATATTCTTAGAAGATGAAAAGAATTTACCTAATGAGATCTCTGCCCTGCAGCATCTTCTGTTGAACTCTGTTGCCATACTAACTTCTGTACTATAATGAAGCATACTTTCAGAAAGATCACATTTGATACTGTCTTGAATTGAGCTTGAGAAGAATTCTCCTTTTGTTCTTCTCTTCTTAAAATAAGCATTTTGCAGGGTTATTGGATTAGTAAATTCTGATATTTCTTACAATCCAGTGATTAAAACCTTCAGCAGGTGTTTGGAAATACACAATTACACAAGTGTATAGAATTTGTCATTGTTGATGACACACACTTTTACTGTTGTTTGTTAACTTCCTGTTAAGAACCTTTAAATGTCAGAATCTTGAAGGTTCTCAAAAATATTTCCGTTTGATTCCTAATTAAAGCCTATTGTGTAATTCTCTTTAAAAAGCAATATGGCCAAGCTGAGTTATTTTTACTGTCTCTGTCTGCTGCGTTCTACATGTACTATACGTAAACTGAATAAGGAGATCTGATGTTGTAAGTCACCGCCTTTTTACCTACTATGTGCTAGGACTTTTCCCTCTAAACTTACTGTTACCAAGTTACCTCTGTGTTTTAGCATTCTGAAGGAATGCGTGGAAGGAGAGAGATGAAGCTAAAGTGTCTTAGAGTAGAAACTTCACAATGGATTTCTTAGTCTTAAAACTGAACAAGGTGATGTTTACAGATTGTGAGAGTCTTTTAATAAGTATTCTCATCTCCAGTAGAGCAAAGAACTTGAGAGGCTTTATTAAGCTAGCTTGTGAGATGATAGGTTAAATTCAGGATTGACAAATGCAAACTAACCTGCTTTGGAAAGACTAATTAATTTTACGCCTATCTTGCAGGATTCTAAGTGAAATTGCATGAGAATAATTGCATACATCAGAATATGGTCTGGACATTAGGGAAAACAAACAAAATTTCAGAACACAAATAATAGGGAAAATTATGGAAGACTACATGACTACTATTTTATTGATAGAGTTGATTCAGAATTCTGAGGGCGCTTCTTATTCTGTATAAAACCATACCAGAAGGGTCTTAATGGCATGTGAAAGAATGTTAAAGAGCATAGGAAAACTTTGGTAAAGATAGACTGAACTTGGCTTTGTAAAGCTAAATAAAAGGAAACCTAATAAAAGAACTTCAGTTCTTTGTGTCAAGGAAATAGAAAGACAAACAGAATACAGGCCTGGGGGATACTTCATGAAACTCATCCGTGAAAGAAAATTCCTACTGATGAAATTATTTTTCATGCTATATGTAATTAGTTCAGGTTATTCACAGGGTAACACTATAGTCTCAAAGATATTAGCTGTCTACTCCTTTTACACTCTGTTACTAAATAGCAAATACATGAAAGGTATATAAATAATAAAGTGTTTCTCCATGTGTTTATGTGCAAAGAAAAGTAGTTTCTTGAGGATAGCAAAGGGCTACTGGATGGTCAAAAGACCACTCACTAATAATTCAGCTGTGGAAGTACACTCTCAATATCCATGGATTTTAACTATTGTTTGTTAAAGCTGTTACGAAACCGTAACAAAAATGGTACAACAAATTTTGTAGAATTTATTGTAGTGCTGTGATAGAATGAGTATGAATTAGAAATACACTTATTTTCTCCAAAAAGCTACTAAACTATTTACTTGAAATAATCACAACTTCCTCTGAAAACTTTTAAGTTTTCTGCTTTTCAAAATCCAGATTACTGCAGCACAAAGAATAAGGTGAAGTGTGCTTTACGGATACTGCATACTGAAAAATATTTTCCTTCTGGCTTCCCATTAAGCTGTCTGGAAAACAGCGAGCAATAAGCAAACTTCCCTTTCCCTTTTTCCAGCCTTTCCACACCCCCTCCTATTCCTTTCCCCAGCATACATGCACCATGCTGGAAATACCTTGAAAGGTAGCAGACCCATAGCCATCATGAAGAATGGGTATAATGATCAAAATAATATGGCAAGCTATTTTCATTTGGGGAATTTATGACCATTGGTTTGACACAAGCTGGTGGTAAAAGTGGGAGAAACTGGAAAAATCCTTCATATTTGAAATATGTTATAGATTATTCTTTTTTTTAGTGTTTGTTAGTTGATTTGTAGTAAAAGTGCACTTTCATGGGAGAAACTGTAAAAATCCTTCATATTTGAAATATGTTATAGATTATTCTTTTTTTTAGTGTTTGTTAGTTGATTTGTATTTATAATTGATTTGTATATTTTTAGGAGCCCAGGCTTGTGTTCTTGTGTTTTCTACAACTGACAGAGAGTCCTTCAAAGCAATCCCTACCTGGAAGGAAAAAGTTGTGACTGAAGTTGGAGACATTCCCACCGTTCTTGTGCAGAATAAGATTGATCTTCTTGATGACTCTTGCATAAAGAAGTAGGAGTTTTATCTTACTGCTTTTAAAGAACAATATATGCCCCCTCTATACACACTCTTTTTTTTTTTTAACCAAAAAAAAAAAAATCTATGGGACTTTCTGGTGAAGACTTATGATACCTAGGCTGTCAAACCTATGCCCTGCATCAAAACATGCCCTAGAAGCACAGGTGGCAGGTACTGCTGCATGAGTGTAGTTACTTGGGCAAATGTGCTTGCACAGCTAAGAGCTTTCTGTTTGCTTCACGCCTTCTTCTGAAGGGTAAGGCAAAAAAATAGAGAAATAACATGAAAAGTTTGGTTGTACCATTATATGATTCTCATTTTTATTAGAAATTCTAAAACTGTATGTTTTCTCTCTGGTTAAAATTTACAGTTACTGTTAAGCTGTGCAGTGCACCAGTGAAGTTACATTGTGTAGTTTGGCTAATGAATGCTTGTCAAAATGATTAAGTAGTATTAAACCAGTTGTTTGAAAAAGTATCTTACAATTCTTTGCTTTGCATTTCTTTAATTTGTTTTTATTGCTTGTTTTTATCAAAACATTGTAACTCTATAGAAATCCATATCTGTTAATATTCACAAACTGCATGGTGCTGATCCTTCTTCACTATATTTTTCTTTACAGATTTTACTGTCAGTTTTTTCTGCCTTTGTACATATGACCAATTTCATTCTTGCCATAAAATCAGCTTAACAAATGCTAACTTTTATTTACCGCAGCATATCATGTAGAAAATATTGCATGATGAAGTCGATCATTGTCCACCTCTTTATATCTACAATCTTCCCGAGAGATTTAAATTATTTCTTCTTTTTGTTGTTTCCTGCACTGGCTTTCTTTGTTCTCTGTTTGCTATCATTGATGGCATAAATCAGCTTCTACTCCCTCTGCAAAGAATACTGAGGATTTTTCAAAGGAAAAGCAAAATTGCATTTGAACTCCTCCTTTATTCATGGTATGTCACTTAGGTTTTGTTCTCAGAATACTCCCATCTCCCTCAGTAACGTCATCTTTCTGATGACATGATTTCCCTTGGTGAAATTTTCATAAGTTTCCTCAACTTTTTTAAAAATTTAACACAAATTCACTTCACAGAAAAAAGTAATTCTTGATTTCATCTCTGCACTCATCTGATTGCATAGTCTACTGCTTTATTAAAATATACTTAAGAATTACTTTTTTGTTGTTGCTTTGACTTTGCAGTGGTAATTGTTCCAATTCTAGTGCTGTTAATTACAGCATCCTTCCTTTTGGTTTCACTAACGCCTGTCTTTGAACCCTTGGGAAATTTTAGTTAGTGAAGTCAATAAATATTGAAAAGCAATTATTTTTGGTCATAAAGAAATTGCACATAATATACCTTCTTTTTATAGTGGAGATATTGTAAAGAAATTAAGGATCAGGTATTTTTTTTGACCGTCTGAGTTTCTTAACCCGCCTTGCCCTGTGTAACTTACCAGGAAGCATTTTGTCTATAAGAATAAATGCTGACAAATTAGTATTTACAGAGTCTTCTTCTGTTGTGCAGTGAAGAGGCAGAAGCACTGGCAAAAAAGCTAAAATTAAGGTTCTACCGAGCATCTGTGAAGGAAGACCTGAACGTAACTGAAGGTACGAGATGGAGCAGCTTGGGTGTCTGTCCTGCCCTCTGCTCTGTGGCACTCTACAGCTTGCTGGTTGGGAGCTGATTCTGTTGCTTCCCACGTTGTTGCATGCTGTTGGCAATCCTTTTTATGTTTCTTAGCAGCCCGCCTTGAACGCAGCTAGAATTACTTGATAGCAGTATGTTAGGACTGTTTCTTTGGGTACATCTTTCCTCTCTCTTCCACAAACAGTGCATAGCTTCAGTATTTAGAAGTGCCAAAGTGTTAAGGCTGCTTAGTCCTAATGACTGTCAGTAAGCACAGAGCTTTTTATTTTGTAATTGTTAATAAATAATTGATACAAATGATTCTTTCATAGTTTAGTTATCTTTATTTAAAGTACATTAAAAGATTGGCTCTCTTGCAGCCTTTTGTCTACTGGTGATACTTTTTACTAGTTCCCAAGTATCACTTTTTAATGTATGTATTTAATTTCATAGGATTACTGTTACAAATCTCAGTCACTGTCTTTTGTGGGGAAGGTTTGAATAATCATGAATTATAGTCTCTGATAACTTTTTTTGTTTGTTTAATCAGGCAAATTTAATAGTGAACTAATTGTTTTTTCTCTGTTAACATCATTCACCTTGGGGGAAAAAATCTGCAAGAGAAAATGTAAAATGTTTATGTATCATTTTACATGAGTTATTAATTACAAATGTAAATGATCATAACACATATAGGTTCTGAAAATTCTTCTATAGTTGTCTATTTTTTCAGAATCCTGGGTAGACCTTTCATACCCCAATACAAGTAAGGATAGCATTAGTTAATGAGAAAAATGTTGCTGCCAAGTTTTATTAATAGACTTACTTTACATGACTGCTAATGTTCTAAGGCTTCTTGCAAAAAAAAAAATACATTAAATTCCTACATAACTTTAAAAAGTTCCAAGTTGCATGAACTGGAACATTTGGCAAAATATATGTGCCACCTTTATTACAGGAGTATTGAGATGTTTCTGTCTGCCATGCAAGACTTTAGTACTGCAAAGTGTAAGACCTGGGTATACTCTGGAGTCATCTGGATTCTGCTCAGGTACAGAGGCCTGCCAAGAGAGAATCACTTACCAGGTCAAGCTACACCTGTAGTGTTGAATGCACTTTTGTCACCACGCAGAATCTTGATACAAAGGTATTATCACTGATACAAAGATTATTTGAAAGCCTACTCTGATGTACCTTTTTTCTTTTTAACATTCCAGTTTTTAAGTATTTGGCCGATAAATATCTTCAAAGGCTCAAGCAACAAACAGCTGATGATCCAGAACTAGTACATACAAGCAGTAACAAGATTGGTATGTATACTGTAATAAAACAGAAACAGTATTTTGTGCCATCAAAGCCTATGGTCTCATCTGTTTCCTTATGGAGTTAATATAAGGTGAATCAGAGTCTAATTATTACCTTCCTATCTTAGGATATTGTCTCCTCTCCTATAAAACAACTCTGTGACTCTCTAAAGTTACAAGACTGTCGAACTGTTGTACTGAAGTTTCTAGCTAATGTTTGGCAAGTGCCCTTTTATTAAATTTGTTTAAACAAACATTGTGTAAGGACTTGAAAAAAGATGCTTGTTGGGTTTTTTAATGTAACTAGTATTAGTGTTACTCATCTTGGTGTGTATTTACAGGAGACTCATGGTGAAAGAATCTGGCGTGTAATCAGGTCTTTGTAAACTGCTTTTTGTAAGGGAACACTGAACTTCTGTAGTCCTTCTTTAAAGAGTTTCTGAGTCAGTTCATTTATTTTCCTTAAAGCAGTCCCTTTTTATTCAGGCTTTTTCCTGACCTTTATCTCGGCAAAGTTTCCAACTTTAAAATTGTCATATTTTTCTTTTATTATATTACTCAGCTAACCATATCTTTGTTACCTTGCAATTAGTAGCATACACATATGCAGGTGAGTGCATATGCTGCTCTTCAATTACACAGATGTATACCAGCTTCAAATACAGCCTGGCTGATAATTCCAGGCAGCCTTACTTCAAATTTAGCTGCAAAATTGACCCAGAAGTAGATAAAACCGTTAAAAACTGGAGTATGCATTTGAGGTGCACTACTGTGCCTTAGTAAGCATTGCTTCTTAAGTGTTAATGTATTATGCAGCAGGAAGTAAAGAAATACAAATAATTTTCTTGTCTTTAAATTCTGCAGGTGTTTTTAATACAGCTGGTGGAAGTCACTCCAACCAAAATTCTGGCACTCTTAATGGTGGAGATGTCATCAACCTTAGGCCAAACAAACAGAGGACCAAGAAAAACAGAAGTCCTTTTAGCAACTGCAGCATACCTTAGACCACTTTTGGAAGAAAAAAAGCAACCCGGGGAATTGGATGAAGTTGTGCAATTGAACACAGAATAAAGTCAGCTGTAGAGGTATTTTTACCAGTGCTTTAGCGAGTCTTGTGCCTATGGGATCTTTGATAGAGGGTGGATTTATCCAACCTTGCTGATGCAGTGGTTCTTGGTGTGCAGGGCGAGACACCTGCTGGCAAAGCACAGAACCGCGGTTGTCCTCTGCGCTTGGTAAAAATTAGGCAAGCTTCTCCTTTTTCAAGGAATTCTTTACAGAGCTATGAACTAGGTATTGCTGAATTGCAAAGCACATTTAATGTAAGGGTAATACTTACACGTATAGGTACAGACCAGAACACTATGGCCCAAGGTAAAGTAGCAACCTTGCAACTAAATTTCAAAGAAAATGTTAGAATTGGTTAGTTGGGACGCTAAGAAGACAAACAAAGAGCAAAAGGAACACGCTGCGTTTTATGCCTGACTATATTAATATCGATTCTGGCAGTTCTGTTGGTGCAATATACTTGTATTATATATATGAGTGCTAAGGTATATATGTAAACATTTGGTATGAGTATTTAGGCTAAATTCCAGTGTATATGTTACTTGGAGCTAATGCTCATAAAATAGCATCTTCCAAAAAAAAATTTCCTTCAAAATATTGCATTTCAGATGAAGCTTTCCCAGCTGCCACTGTGTATGTTTAGCTTGCTATACTTTGGGCCTAAAAGCTTAAGATTTAAAAATGTATGGTGCCAAAAATGGTCCTTCTTTCTACCCAGTGCTGTGCTACGGATGTTTTTCTAAGTTTGTTTTTCTCAGTCTTAACAGTTTGAACAAATTAACGGAGTCTTTGACACTAATAGCTATTCAGAAGGAGCATATTGTATAATTGCATTCCTGTTCAAATTTGATTGTTGCATCCCATGTTGTCTTTGAAAAAGGAACTTGCCAAATGGTGTCACAAAATATTTATCTTCTCTTCTTTGGAAAAATTCTTCATAGATACCACAAACTAAGTTATGGAAGATCCAAAAAAATGCACCTGATGACTGAATTACATGAGTGAGACATTCTTGAGCGTTGTCTCGGATTCAAAGGTAGCAAGGTAGCTGCTGGTTACAGAAAATCTAATTCTGCAAGATCAGAGACATGGCAAAAATTTTTCAAAGTGCTTAAGTAATTTTACAGAATTGATTTAGATGTTTAGGAGCCCAAATCTAAATTAAAGTTATTTGGACTTAGGCTCCTAAATCACTAAGGTGCTTTTAAAAATGCTAAGCAAGGTATCTTTTATTTACCAAAAATAAACACTTTTTAATCCTCTTCAAGAGCATGCATGCCTTATAAAAAATACCCATTTTGTTTACTTGTTTTTGTATGGTATGATACAATTTTAACTTTCTAGGATTTCTACAACAAACCTGCCAGTGACAAATGCAAAATAGGCTGCTTGAAAAAAGTCAGAGTTTTAATAGTTTTTTAAAGGGTGTATGAAAGTGAAAATGAGTCGAGTGATCCTGTATATTTTTGGAGGAAGGACTTTTCACCATGTGAATTCACATAGGAAGCTTGACTTTGTTTCTAAGTCAATGAGTATGAAAAGGGAAATGTATTCTTTTTCCCACTCTCTGCAGGGAGAGAAGTGGGTGGCAAGTTATGCACAAACACTAAAGATCTCTGAACTCTGTATTTTATGTTTACTGTGTTAAACTTTCTCCCAAGTACCGTTGTTTCTTTGACAAGCTGTTAGAGCATCTCCTGTTGCTGGCCAGAAGGTGACCCTCAAGGCGCTCCGTCCCCTTTGCTATTGCAGCAAAACTGTGTGTTCTTCACTGTAACCTTTCCTCTGTTTTCTCTTGGATAAAGGCCTTTATTTTTTAACAAGTGCTTTTAATCACTGTATGTATGTGTAAATGGAGTCCAATCCTATCTGTCTTAGCGATTTAAGAAGGAAGGTACTTGGGATAAGACTGAGGGTTGTACATCATGGGGACCGCCTTACAACTTCAGGATGTAAGACAGAGTAATGCATGAAGAATTTTGACAACTGTTTTTAATGTGGAAACTTTTACATTTCGTTGTCTGTCTGCCAGTTTCACGTTTTTTATTAATTTTTCTTGAAAAAGAAACAAAACCACAGAATGTCTGAAACATCTTTTTTGCCTTGTTTGACTTTGTACAGAGTACTGAAAAATAAGTCTTTATTAGGTATGATGACCAGTTGTACTATTACATGTTATACTGTAGACATTGTACTGTTACCTAAGCTGTTTGTATTTAAGATCTGTCATTATAAACCACTGTTTTAGGGAGTAAAAACTCAGTAGAAGTTTTCACAGGTGGAGGCTTGACAGACTTGCTGAATTTAGGATATGTTGAAATGCAGTAGGCATACTTTAATGTAGGAATACATATTTGCAGCATTGGGTAACAGTGAGTTTTTATTTCATTCCCATCTTAAATCTAAAGCGGCTCACTCTTTGTTGTGACTTTGCAGTGCTTGTTCTCCAGTACAACCAAGTTGGAGACTATCTAAATTAGCATTTCTCTGGAGGGTGCTCTGCATTGTACGCTGCTTAAAAATTATTTTTTTATCCTACTGGGGTTAGTGTGCAGATGTAAACCAGATGACTTGCCTATTGCAGGAATCCTTAGGTATTCACATCACTCTTCAGTGAAAGTAACTTTTGCCCTTTGGATGAAGAGACACGCCTAAACAGTTAGCGCTCGCATTGTCCCTTGTGAAAAATTTTTATTGCAAACACTGCCATTCTCCACTCAAAGCATTCTCATTAAAATATCGTATGTTTTAGTTATCAAAACCTGCAGGTGCAGAGCTGGTAATAAAAATGCCCTTCTCTGTGCCCTGCTGTAACGGCGTGGCAGGAGAGGGTGTAGCTCTTCACCACACCCCCGTGGCAGACTGGCATTCTGGGTTGGGGGCAACAGATGTTCCTACCGCGAGATGCAAAGTTCTCTTCTGTGAGACTAAGGTAGTTGCACTCCTGTTTTATCCATTAATATCTGTTGAATAGCTCATTGGCTGTGCTATCTGAATCTTGCCAAAATTCTTTGCTTTCAGCTGATAATGCTACCACGAGCAGAAAACGTCAGTAATTGTTAGTGCCTTAGTGAAACAAGCACTCGCTAAAGAGTATGACACTAAAGCATCTGTCACTCCCCTGTTGTATCCATTCAGTGAATGGGTGTTCTCCCAGTGGGTCACTGTTTGATGCAAAGCGGTTATGCTAGGGATGTATATTTCCAAGCAGAAATAACAAATCTCAAAGTTGTGAGACTGACCACACGAAGATATTTGTGCTTCTGTGTGTGGTTAATTTTTAGAAAAACCCTAAATAGTCCACTTCAGACAATTTTGGAGCTTTCTTATTTTCAGTGTTTCTTAAGGCAAAACTTACCTTTTTTAGTCAAAATGCCTGAATTACCGTACTGTCAGTCTGATTTCCTGTTTAAGTTTTTTATGCTTCAGTAAAATCTTTTTTTTTTTTTTCCCCTCCTCCTCCATTATTGGGCTCCAGCATATCTGACAGGTAGTTTTCCTTTGCATCGCTTCTGTAGATGTACATTATGCTAAAGGGAATGGAGCAGCTGAACATATTGCACTGCCTGGAGGTTGCGCAGGGGTACGTGCACAATACTTGGTGAACACACGCTTTGAACATGTTAATTCATCTGTTCAAGTTGATAGCTACCAGTTAACCCTAGAATGAATGATTTGCACTGCAGAACCCTCTTGTGGGAATTCGGTTGTACAGCAAACAATCAACATATTTCTTGGATTGTAAGGATGGTACCTAAGCCCCTAAATGTAACCCTAGAGCTTTGGCTGACGTTGCAGTACCTGAGTGCCCGTTGTACATAAACCAGAGAAGTGTCGTCCAACGAGCTTCATTTCATCACAACTACCTTACCATCTCTTTGTATGAAGCAGCAGTTGTGCACATCTTTTTAATGCTCAGATGGTATTGGCAGAAGAAAATACTTCTCTCTGTTAAATATGACATCCAAACAGGTAATCAAAATTACAGAAGAAAAAATGCAGCAATGTTTAGATTTAAGATGCAAGGTACGGTAATAGAGTAAGAGAAACTTTGAAACAGTTCCGTGTTGAAGAAGTGTTCTACATGAGTCATCTCAAAGCCAGGTGAGTCTTAGTACTGAACTAGACTCATTCTCAGGTTTCTAGTAGTAGGGTAATACGGATAAATAATTGGTGGAGTGAGTGTTCTTTCTTCTCTTACCAAGATAAATGTGATTGAGCAGAACTGGCTAAAGTTGGTCAAAAAAAGCAAAAATTAATCTGGACCGGGAGAAATGCCGCTCTCGTTGAGAGAATAAAGATGCTTCATTACTAATAAATGACTTCCTCTTATTTGCAAGTTCTTGTGAATCTGAATGGTTAAAACAGATAAGGTACATAACTTTTTATCACTGTTGTGATCTCAAGTAAATGTATTTTTAGAAAAAAAAAGTCAACATGACTTACCATAAATCCTCAAGTAGAAATATAAATGTTTAAAACTGAGTATTGTGTGTATGACATTCCTGTAACATCCCTGCGAGTTAAGTCTGCTGTTCTTTTGTGAGTGACCTGAGTTGTATCACACACTTCAACATGTTTATTTGATTACTGTTTGATCTGATACAAGTCACTATTTTTGTGGTTATATTAAATTGTCAATGTACTACATTTCAAAAAATTGCTATAACCCTGTAGCTGTGCAACCTGAATCTGATTGAGAAACTTGTGTGCCTGGTTCTAGCCCGTGTGCTGTGAACAGCTGTGATCCAGGGCAGCACAGGAGACTGAAACCCTCGCCGGACCAAGCGTGGGTACCCCAGTCTAACAGAAACACTGCTTCCGAGTTCTTGGCTCCCATTTCTTCATCGCACAACTCAAGTATGAAACACGGGTTCTGTTCTGCTCTTTCTGGTCATTTCACTTCTCGTGATTGGTCTGGTGAATACAGGGATGAGATTTAGGTGAATGGTTGTAGACCTTGGAAGCAGCATTAAAATGTGACTAATGTATCAAAGATGCCTGATCCATTTTCTGAAAAGAAACAGGTAAATAGTCACTGGTGGGTTTTGGTTGGTTGGTGTGTTTGGTTTGGTTTCTTTTTGTGTAAAACACAACTCAGCATCTGGGTCTGCCTCTTTACCCAGGTATCTCGGGAATCTGGGCAGTAATGTACTCCTGCTTCCTCTTGTGTGCAG